CTGGACAGGGTTTCTGAGTGCCTGGACTCAGAAGCAATTAGAAGAACAGAGGCTTCAGGTACAAATCATACATTTCATAGAACATTTCATTAAAAACAAGCTGAGTGTATTTACCATCTGATATTTTATTTTTTCCATTTTAATGTGATATTAATCCAAAGAGAACAAATTCCATATTGTTCATAGGTACAATTCTAAGAACATAATGGTGTTCCTTCCTTTCTCCCTCCCTCTCACTTTCTCTCTCTCTGTTTCATTTTAAGATAACACATTTTTAATTTACAATGCAATCAAAGGCTTAATACTCCACCAAATAGAATTCAGCAAGTAAAAGTAAAAAGACCCTAATTCAGCCAGAGTATATGCAAGGGCAATACACAATAATCAAATGGAAAGATGACCATTTCACCCATATACATATACTGTAAACTTTAAAATAATTACAGATTAGTTCTTTTTTAAAAAAGATTTATTTATTTATTTGAAAGTCAGAGTTACACAGAAAGATAAGGAGAGGCAGAGAGAGGTCTTCCATCCGCTGGTTCACTCCCCAGCTGACCACAATGACCAGAGCTGTGCTGATCTGAAGCCAGGAGCCAGGAGCTTCTTCTGGGTCTCCCACACAGATGCAGGGGCCCAAGGACTTGAGCCATCTTCTACTGCTTTCCCAGGCCATAGCAGAGAGCTGAATCGGAAGAGGAGCAGCCAGGACTAGAACCAGTGCCCATATGGGATGCTGGTACTTCAGGCCAGGGTTTTAACCCTCTGTGCCATAGCACCGGCCCCAGATTAGCTCGCTCGCTCTCTCTCTCTCTCTCTCTCATACTCTCTTTCTTACTCTCTCCCTTGACCCATTGGGCCTCCCCCACCCGACAGTAAACCTTTCCTCCAACTCCGGTGTTTGTTTTGTGGAGGCCTTACATTGGTGCCATGACTCAGATCCAGGTTCCGCCATTGACTTTGCTCTCCACTCAGGATTTGACCTGCCTTGAGGTTCTGGATTTCTGTCAGTCACAAAACATGCCCCTGGGACTCCTTCCACGCCACTTCATGATCTCCATCCATACACCAGCATTTCAAATCCTGAGTTAAGATGCGGAATGAGAGATTCTCACAATAATCTCCACTGTGGGTTGTGGTTCTTCTCTGCTTAATCTCGAAGTCCTGGTACTGGGCACCATGACTCCTATGGCTTCATGCCTCTACAGACTCTGGGCATCAGTGAATGTGGATGATGACTCAAGCTCCTGTTTCCCTTCTGCAGACTAGGGCCAGGGCTCCAGTGGGTGCATGGGTGATAAACCCTGCCCTCTGTTTCCATATCTTGCTGTTGGACAGCCATGATCTCTAGGATGCCTGATATCTGCTGACCCAACTCTACAGGCTGCCATGGGAGCTGCTTCCTCCCATATTCTATCCAAGCCTCCTCTCCATTGTCTCCTGCTTTGATAACTCAGTCCAAATGGTTGTTTAATGACATGTTTAACCCTAACATTATTGGGATCTCTACCACTTCTGTGAACGTTAGGAAAAGTTGAAGCTTTCCTATGTCTAAGCTTTCTCCTATCTCAGCTCTAAACTTTCTCCAGCTCAAACTCTCCACTTCCAAAGATCTCACCCAAAGGGCCAAAACCCCCTTCTTCTACGTTTGTGTCATGTTTTCACTGTCTTGGCTCACTGTACCTAACCCCCCCCCCCCGCCCCGCCCCGCCCCGCCCAGGAATTCTGACCTAATCTCAGAATTAGGCCTTGTCCAAAGCCTACTCCCCTGTCTTATCAATTATCTTCCCTAACACCCTCCTCCTGAAGAAGCAAGCACAACTTGGTTCTCTCCATGCCTTTGCCCGACAGCCCTCATCCTCCAACTGGTCTTTGCCTCTCCCCCTCCTGTTTCAGTTTTGCCATAAGAATAGCAAGGGAGTGATGATTCCATCTTTCAGAGCTCCCTGTTTAGGGCAAAACTAAGTAGGTATTCTACCCTTTTGATGGCTTTTTCATTTTACATGAGTAAGTAAGACAGGATAATGAGGTCTTTGATTGTTTTTGTCCCTGCTTTTAACTGAATACCAAGCTGAGCTGCCAGGTCTCCCCAGTTTCTACAAACTTAATTTCTTGGTTTCATTAGGGAGCATTTCCTAGATTGGCACTTCAAACAAGCCAGCTCACCGGATTAGTAACTATTTTCAGACACATCTTCTTTTCCATAATTGCCCTTATTCTTTCACCTATCAGATTCTCCTCCTTAAAATCTCTCTCTGTGGCTGGCTCCAAGGCTCAGTAGGCTAATCCTCTGCCTGCGGCATCGGCACCCCAGGTTCTAGTCCAGGTTGGGGCGCCGGATTCTGTCCTGGCCCCTCCTCTTCCTGTCCAACTCTCTGCTGTGGCCAGGGAGTGCAGTGGAGGATGGCCCAAGTGCTTGGGCCCTGTACCTGCATGGGAGACCAGGAGAAGCACCTGGCTCCTGGCTTTGGATTGGCGCGGTATGCTGGCCACAGCGTGCCTGCCGCAGCGGCCATTGAGGGATGAACCAACGGAAATGGAAGACCTTTCTCTCTGTCTCTCTCTCACTCTCTACTCTGCCTTAAAAAAAAAAAAAAGAAAAAGAAAAAATATCTCTGTAACCATCTACTCTGATGCTCTCCACTATGAAACCTTACAATAATGGTGAACAATCTCCAGTGGACTTCTTGTCCCTGGCACATCGGCCCTAGCCCACCTTTAGGACCTGCCTTGCAGCTGCTTGAACTTTTGTTTCAGAGGCAGTCCCAAATGGCTGACTGTTGACTAGAGCATCATTGGCCTAAGGTATTCTTAGGGAAAAAAGCAACTGTAACTAGACATTGAGTTTGAAGAAATTTTTCTCTATGAGTCTAGGAATATCACTGCCTTTAAAAATATGGCTTTGTAACTTGCCAATCCTATTTTGCAATTCGTTTCAACAAGTTTTTGATAATATAGCAATGGGTAATCAGTACTCACTGAAGCCCCTAAAGTAGATTTTGCAGTCTCTGGTTTAATGCCATTGATTTATAGCTAGAGGTTTATAAAAGGAGTACAATTCCATATGAATGCATTTTTGACCTTAATTTGTATATAGGTGTAATATAATATCAGCATCTTATGTCATTTAGGTGTAATTGCTAAATGTAAATTTGGTAAAGGCAAATGAGATAAATGTGTCTAAATGTAAACTTACATAATCTTAGCACCTTAAATTCTATAGAAAACCTATTTGGGTTTGTTAATAAATACATTTACATAAACTGTTTATGAAAAATAGTTCAACACTGCTTAAAAGTAACTAAGGCTGATGTGTTACCTTATTTAGAAAATGTTGTCCAGGGGCAGGCGCCGTGGCTCACTTGGTTGATCCTCTGCCTGCAGTGCCGGCATCCCATATGGGCCCCGGTTCTAGTCCCGGTTGCTCCTCTTCCAGTCCAGCTCTCTGCTGTGGCCCCGGGAGAGAAGTGGAGGATGGCCCAAGTGCTTGGGCCCCTGCACCCGCATGGGAGACCAGGAAGAAACATCTGGCTCCTGGCTTTGGATCAGTGCAGCGCCAGCTGTAGTGGCTATTTGGGGAGTGAACCAATGGAAGGAAGACCTTTCTCTCTGTCTCTCTCTCTCACTGTCTATTACCCTACCTGTGAAGTTAAAAAAAAAAAAAAAAAGGAAATGTTGTCTTAATTTGGATACAAAAGCTATTAATCTATTTCTCTTTGACATAGAATTAGAATCAGATCCTCTGTTAAAGCAATGAGTTAAGGTAATCTGTTACATTCTCTTAATGTCTCTGTTAGGTTCTAATTGTTTAAAAACAACTGAGTTTTAAAAGAGTTATGATTTAACTGTGCAACACTCATTCCTATAAATAGCTTCAGAAGAGAATTTTCCTCTTAATCTTTTACCCTAAATTTCTCCTTCATTCTGAAACCCATTGTCCTTAGGGAATAAAAAATTTTGGAAAAGGGAAACAAACTTAACTCATCAGTTCACCCAATCCTCATTGTTAACATTATCACGAAGTTGTGACCCACCAACAATTTTACACCTAGATTTTTAGCTTTTGTGCATCTTAGTCTATTCCATGGTCCATTTTACTCTCAGATTGTCCATGCCATCCTGCCATTTCCCTAAGCTTTGGCACTTATTCAACCTTTTCTGTATGCTTTCATTCTTATTTTAATTACCTCTTACTCATACTTTAATTAAACTTCATCAATTGAGGTTAATTTTTCAAAAACACAAAAGTAAAAATAGAAAATGAAAAGCCCACAACTTCACTAATCCATGATGGCATTGGCATGCATTTCCCAAAACGTGTTCTCTACTTATTTACTCCTTTTCAGAACTGGTATTAAACACTATGGACAATTGTTTTTTTCCCTTCTGTTTCAATATAATATTATATCTTGATCACTTTTCAAATGTTCAGACACTTTTTGTAAATACAACAAGTAAATGACACATGATTTCAGTTGTACATTGCTTCAGCTAGTTTCTTTTAGGACAGTAATCAAATGATTTTTGGTTTTGTTTTTATAAATAATGATTTTACGCATGATTCTATACATGTTTCTGTTCTCAAAATTCTATTTCTATAAAGAAATTGATAAACTGGAAAATATATATATACTTTCTAACTGATACAAATTTCTAAATTCCTTTTTATCAATGTACTGAGTATACTTCTGAAAGTAGAAAAATTATTCTTTTACCTTAATAATATCTTGATAATAATTTATTATATAGGTACTAGATGAAAAATTATTTTCTTGTGATGAAGAACAAAGGCTGACAAAGTTTTGTCGTCTGTCACATTTCTCAGAGAGTGCTCATTGTGCTCTGAAAGTCATTTTGCTTGTTTCCTGAGGGCTGCAGTGTCTGGGTCAGTTGTTCTCAGAGATGACTTTGTGATGAGATGCAACAGCCTGAGAAACTTTTTCACTATGTCCTTGGATCAGTGGAGCAGATGGAGTCATGGTGATACTGTTACCCTTGATTCAGGGGTCTTTCCCACAACATGCTCGGATAACCCTGTCCCTGATCTGTTTGGTTCTAACTCCATAGATGATGGGATTGAGCATGGGAGGTACCAGTAGATAGACATTAGCAAACATGATGTGTACCACTCGGGGCACATGATGGCCAAAGCGGTGGGTGAGGAATGTGAAGAGGGCTGGAATATAAAAAGCCAAGATTACACAGATATGAGAGGCACATGTGCCAAAAGCCTTAAGGCGGGCTTCACCTGAAGGTAACCGCAGCACAGCTCTCAAAATCATCACATAGGATATACCAATGACAATTATATCAAAGCCAACCACAGAGAAGGCTCCAAACAGCCCATACACACGATTGACTCTTGTATCAGCACACACCAGCTTCAGCACAGCCATGTGCTCACAGTATGATTGGGGAATGACCTTGTTGGGGCAGAAGGGCATCCTGGAGACCATGAAGCAGAAGGGGCTCACCCATAGCAGCCCTCTCACCATCACGACTGCCCCCAGTTTAACCACTACAGCTGTGGTGAGGATGCTAGAGTGCCGGAGCGGGAAGCAGATAGCCACGTAGCGGTCCAAGGCCATAGCCATGAGGATCCCAGACTCCACTGAAGAGAAGGCATGGATGAAGAACATCTGGATGAGGCAAGCATGATATTCAATCTCGTGTGCATGAAACCAGAGTATGGCCAACATTTTCGGTTGAGTGGAAGAGGAGAGGACTAAATCAGTGATAGCCAACATGGCCAGAAAAAGATACATGGGCTCATGCAATGTGTGGTCGGTTCGGATTATATGAAGGATAATGATATTGCCAACTACAGCCACGAGATACATGACACAGAATGGAAAGGCAATCCAAAATTGGGAATTCTCCAGTCCTGGAATTCCAAGCAGGATGAAGGATGCAGGATGAGAAGAGCTGTTTGCTGACGTCAACATCAAGTGATGGTTAATATGCTCTCCATTGGGAAGGTCATGTACTCTCTGCAGATAATAACAGTCAAAGCAATTATTATTATTCAATGGACTTTCATATGATACACTTGGGCTATAAGGCTATTAGGTTTAATTTCAAACTGTTTTAATAAATAAAACTTTGCAACAGGAAATCGTGTTACACATTGTAGTTTATTTATAGTTGTATCGTTCAAAACAGGGTGAGTCATACTAATATCAAGTATAATTAGATTTTAAGAATTAATAGCTTTTATTAAAGTAGAGTACGGTGATATAAATACTTTCTGACAGATAATATTGTAGGAATTTTTTCTATTATTTAGAACTAACAGTATGTTCTGTCTTTCTCACAGTTTCATTTTATCCCTCTGTTATGTCACTCAGATAACTTTTCAGGATAGGAAGTCAGCCTGACTTAAAGGTTGATAGAAACTTGAGTAGTGGTCTTGAGTTACCTTTACCTCTATTGCTGTTAATATAAGGGTTTGGACTGGAAGAAAACTCAGAACAACTGCACATCTGCAACTGAAGAATTACCCTTAGTGTTTAGAACCTCCTAGATTAGGTATCAGCAAACATAAATATTCTAGGCTTTGTGAATATACATTCTTTGTTGCAATTCTTCACCTAAATAGTTTCTTATATATATATATACACACATATATATTTTAGCCTATTTACATGTATATATATATAGTTATAGTTCCAAAGCAGATATAATCAATGTATAATGGCATGCTTATGACTATAATCCAATTAAAATTTAGTTAGCTGAATAGGCTATAAGTTGAATTTGGTCAACAAGTTATAATTTGCCAGTGCCTCTTCTAGATGAGCAAATTGTCTTGAGGTCAGCCTTGAGCCCTGTAGGATCCTTAGCACCTATGTGTTTATTCTGAGTAAAAATTTATTAAACTTTTGTTGAAGAAATAAGAAATAAATGATATCATTTAGAGACAACTAACTCACCAGCTGATTGCAATGTCTTTAAATCTCCTGGTAAAATCCTCTCAACTCTACTTTGAGCCATGCCTACAAGGCAGTTATATTCTTGTCTAATTCTAGAGGTTGCCTTGCTGTCATTCAATACTATGTGAACATTGCCCTCTGATCTTTCTTGTGTGGTTTGGTTCTACTGTCAGATCCCTTTGGTGAACACAGCCTGCTTTAGAGTCAATGTCACAAAGCTTAATTTGTTCTTGTGAAATGCCTTTAATTATGGAATCTCACTTGTCCTGTGGTCTTGGATGGAGAACTTCAGTTCTCATCTTCATTATGGAAACAAATTGATAAGAAGAGCTTTCTCTCAAATCCCCACTAACACATCTCCCCTAGAACTAACAATTGGTTTATTAAACTAGATTAAATGGCCTCTCCAAATAGTTTCTTCCAGGTCACAAATAGGTCTAGTGTTACTCTAATTTTCCCCAGATTTATATAGTATGAGCAAAATGAAGCTCAAACATGTAAGTCTTGTTCTGAACTGGAAAGTTCCCATTCTACCCAGATAATAGCTACAGGACTGCTCAAAACAGAAACTCCCATATAATGTATAGTGAAATTCAGTAACACAAGTATCTGGGGCAGAGGATCTATGCTTTATGCCTTTTGTTTGGCCTGGTTTTCCCAGCAAGTCTTATCTATTCTGTTTGAGCCAATGTCTTCCTCATCACCTGCCTTTCCCCCAACTATGTCACCTTCTGCTGTGTGAACATAGTCACCAACGATCAGCCCAGCTGGCAAAATACTTAAATCCACCTTCCTGTCCTGAAAGGTAGGCACAGATGATCAAATTGCCATTGGGTTGAATGATGGAAATATAAACAGTAGGAGAAAGGAAAACAATATAACTTCCCTTCCTGTCCACCCCTCTTTACTCCTGTACACTGATATTGAATGTATGCTTTTTTTCCTTCACTCAGAGTAAAACACAAATAGTGCATACTAAAGACTGAAATTAAGTTATATCCTTTTCAAGCATTACAGCTAGGGATCACACTTGATCTTCAGACTCAATTTTTCTCTTCCCAGAAGGCAGCTACCTTGTAGAAATTTTCTGTAATTTTGGTTCAGGAAACATGGCTCACAGAACCGTGTCCTCACAGGGTAGAACTCACTGTTCAACTGTGAATATGGGTGTGAATCACATGATGGTGCCCACTGGCTCTGTTGGAGCTCCACGTCTCCACTCATTGTGAGGAAATTGTTGTAAATGTGTCAGTCAGGGATAAATGTTTTCATAAAATAATCAGAGATCTTACTGAAGAATAAGTTGAGAGAAGTTTAGATTTTGATTTCTCACTTTGAGGTATCTAAACTAAGGGTATTTCAGTGATTCTGGAGTACGTGGTGTTCAGCTCCAAACTCATTCTGGGGTCTACCTGGAGGATATAGAGGATATAGTGGAGGCCCTGAGTCTTCTCCCATTGTCAGAATAAAGGTTTGTGGTCACAGATCATTGAACCTGAAGCTCCATTGAGTTCATTCTTTCTGAACAGTCATTGTCTTGCTATTTCCTCTTCCTGGAACTTCTGCAAATTCTACTTCTTCTGGAAAGGGCAGAGGTGCCCGAGACAGAGAATCACTCACCTTGAGTTCTGCTGTGTCTTTGATCCAGATGGACATGGTCATGAGTTCTTCAATAAGCTCCTAGGATTCAGTCTTTGATAGAGATCTCAGACTAAGGCCGATTTAAAGGACTATGTCTGATCTTTCACTTACCTCACACTTTAGTTTTTTTTTCTTATCTCTAATCCCCACTGATTTACACCCATACTGACTTCCTTTGAGACTAGAGGCTAAGCTGGAAATATTAACCCCTAACTCCCTGTGTCATCCATATACACAATACAAAGGCAGGGGATTTGCATGCATGTGCAAGAAGATGTGTAATTACTTGAAAGTGAGCTTATCTGTATGCATGCATTTTTTGAGTTAGCGTATGTACATTTACAATTGAAGGGATATTTTCTGACATTTTAAAATTTTTTGAAATTTTATGTATGTTGATGTGTGTATCTGAGAGGCCTGTTACTAAACATATGCAGTTTATATAAGCAACTTTATTTGCTACTGGATATATGAGTGATCTTTAAAAATTTCACATAAAATGTATATTTTGAATAAACTAGTGTGGATTTCAAGAAGTGTTTGAATCAAAATACACTCAACTTTTTTGATTGATTTATTTATTTGAAAGGCGGAGTTACAGAGAGGCAGAGCGAAAGAGGTTTTCCATCCACGGTTCACTTCCCAGATGGCTGCAAAGGCAGCACTACACTAATCCAAAGCCAGGAGCCTGGAGCTTCTTCTGGATCTCCCACATAGGGGCAAGGACCCAAGGACTTGAGCATCTTCTGCTGCTTTCCCAGGCCATAGCAGAGCACTGGATTGGAAGTAGAGCAGCTGGGACTTGAACTGGTGCCCATATGGGATGCCGGCACTGCAGGCAGTGGCTTTTAATTTATATTTTAATTCATATTTTCCACAACATTTTGACATGCCCTTGTTTGTATATGTAAAGTATAAATCCTTATTGTTTAAAATATGTATAAATATTGGGATACTAGCAGCCTATGCATTTCTGATCCCTGAAGGTTCATGCTTGTGAAGGAATAAGCCACACTATATGCATCAGATAAAGTGAAATTACATATCAGTGTGCACCATATGAGTATGTACACAAATCAGTGTATACATAAGGGTATGTATATACCACGAGTGATGGTTTAATGAGGATGTTGCCAACATATTGCAGCTTCATTGTGTTGAGGCCTAGTTTTGCTTCTGGAGCCGTTCACTTCTGAATGGATAATTATCTTTAGATGGAAAAGAAATTCCTTTGGAGATCTTGCTATAGTCATGTCAGGAACAATAAAACCAGAAGTTCCTCCTTGCTCAACAAAATGATTAAAACCAACAAAGAGCTCCTACTTTTTCTCATCCCCTATATAGAATCCTGTTGAGATTCTCTTATATTTCTTTAATACTCCCTGATTTATTTCATTCCATCTTTGAAGAGATGTCAAAAGATGTGAATAAAAGGCATTAAAAACAGCGAAAAAAGATTTACTTTCAGAGAACAAACAGTCCAACTCCAGAATATATGCTTTTCTTGTGTTTCTAAATAAATTTTAGCATTATTTTTTTCTAGATCTGAGAAGAATATCCTTGATTTAAGAGACCTTGAATAGTGAAAGCAGTTTATACAACAAAAACAAAGCAGGAGGCATTACTATACCAGATTTCAAGACATACGACAAGGCAGTTATAATCAAAACAGCATGGTACTGGTAGAGAAAAAAAAGACATGTTGACCAATGGAACAGAATAGAAAGTCTTGAAATCAATCCATATTTCTATAACCAACCTTTCTTTGACAAAGAAGCTAAAATCAGTCCCTGGAACAAGGACAGTCTCTTCAACACATGGTGCTGGGAAAACTGGATCTCTACAGGCAGAAGTATTAAACAAAACTCCTACCTTACATCTCACACAAAATCCACTCAAAATAGATAAAAGACCTAAATCTATGACCCAATGCTATCAAATTACTAGAGAACATTGGGGAAGCCCTACAAGACATTGGCATAGGCAAACATTTCTTGGAGAAGACCCCAGAAGCACAGGCAATCAAAGACGACATCGACAAATGGGATTACATCTACCTGAGAAGCTTCTGCACTGCAAAAGAAGCAATCAGCTAAGTGAAGAAGCAAATGACAGAATAGGAGAAAATACTTACAAACTATGCAATTGATAAAGGATTGATATCCAGAATCTATAAAGAGCTCAAGAAACTTAACAACAACAAAACAAACAATCCAGTTAAGAAATGGGTAAAGGACTTGAATAGACATATTTCAATTCCATTCAAATGGCCAACAGACACATGAAAAAATTTTCTGGATTATGAGCCATCAGGGAAATGCAAATCAAAACCATAATGATGGGGCCAACACTGTGGTGTAGCCAGTAAAGCCGCCACCTGC